TGACATAGTGGCTGCAACAATGGGCTTAAGCATAACAATGATTGTGAAGATGGCACAGGATCGCACAGTATTTCATTCAGCTGTACATAGGGTCGCTATGAGTCAGAACCGACTCAACAGCACATAACAACAGTATACAAAGACTCCAAATCTCCATCCACATCTCAGCTTCCTATTCCCTACTCTTTACTGGGGATCTACACACTGACACCACCACTTGTTGTCAGTTTGTTTTACTGTGGTGGCTTATGTGTTGCTATGATGCTGGAAGATATGCCACCGGTATTTCAAATACCAGGAGGGCCACCCATGGTGGACAGGTTTCAGCAGAGCTTCCAAACTAAGACTAGGAAGAAAGGCCTGGTAATCTACTTCCAAAAATTAGCCAATGAAACTCTTGTGGATCACAACAGAATGTTATCTGATTCACTTGCTTTGGACATGTCATCAGGAAGGATCCATCATTGGAGGAGGACCTGGTGTTTGGTGATGCAGAGAGCCAACATGGGTGAGGAAGACCCTCTGTGAGATGAATTGTCACAATAGTTGCAATGATGAACTTGAACATGTTGGCAGTCACAAGAATGACACAGAACCAGGCAACGTTCCATTGCACATAAGGTTGTCATGAGTTGGAGTCTTCCATCTGTCTATCTATCTATACACTGATGTCTTACAGATATCTCAAACCCCTTACTGAACTCATCATCCCACCTACCATTGTCTTCCCCAAATTGCCTTCTTCTCATGAATTCCCAGCCTGAGACAGTGGCCCCATTCTTTCCCTTCTTCAAGCCCCAAATCTGGGACTGAACCTTGATTCCTGCCTCCCTCGCAGCTCCCACATCCACTGTGTCTCCAGGTTCTGTCCATCCCGCTGCATTTTCAGCTCTCAGATCCACCCCCTCCCCTCTGTCTGTCAGTGCGAAGTTGATCGTTGTCTGCCTACGTTTATCTGTCTGCCTCCAGTCGATCCCTCCTCCACGTCGCAATCAGAGTGTAGTTTCTAAAACATAAATAGCTGATGATATCACTTTCTGGCATAAAAGCCTTGAAATTCAATTCTAAGTTCCTTAGCATGCCTGTCCCCATCTAGCCTCAAGTCCCACCCATCTCCTGTATTGGCCTGTGCTCCACCCCTTAAGAATTCCCAGTGAGCTCTACCATTTTGTACTGCTGTGTCTTGGCCCAATCTTTTGCCTGGAATGCTGTCTTCCTACTCCTTTCCAGTCTCTGCTTAGAAAATTCTTATGCATCCTTTAGGGCTCAGACCAAACATCACCTCCTCTGTGAAGCCTTTCCTGATGTTTCCATGCAGAGTGAATCTCCTTCTTTGGGTTCCTCAAACATCTCTATTATAATACATTCTACATTGTGGCCCTTGTTTATATCTGTCTCCTCAAGTGGTTGGTGAACCTTTTGAGAACACAGACTGTGTCCAGTTTTTTTTTTTTTTTTCCTGTTATCCTCAGTGCCTAGCACAGTAACTAGTACATGTTGTTTTTGTTGTTAGGTGCTGTCAAGTCGATTTTAACTCATAGTGACTCCATGTGACAGAGCTGAACTGCCCCATAGGATTTTCTAGGCTATAATCTTTACAGGAGCAGATCACCAGGTCTTTCTCCTGCAGAGCAGCTGGGTGGGTTCGAACTGCCAACCTTTCAGTTAGCAGCCTAGCGCTTAACCATTGCACCACCAAGATTCCTTAACTGGACCTTAATAAATATGTATTGTATAAATGAGTAAATGAATGGGTGGATGGATTGGTACTGCTTAGGTTGGACTTCCTAAGCCCCTCAATAATTGGCCACCAAGCCATCTACTGTGTGGATGCTACATTGCAGGTAGGGTATAGATCAGTGGAAAGAGACTGCATATTTCCACCTGCTCTAATATTTAGCGGAAGAAACAAAGTAAAGTGAGGCAGATGGTGACAAGAACAGGAGCAGATGCATTATATCTTATATACCATTTCCTTGCTCCTTGGTCTTTACAGGGTGGGCAGTTGACACTGTTATTCTCTGCATAGGTAAGGCCCTGCCACAGTTGAGAAAAAAGCCAAAATCTTGCTGAGCCTTTGTCTTTTTTATTTTGAACTTATTTTGCCACTCCAGAAGCACAATCACTAATAAGCTATGCACTTCTCTTCAAGGCATGGCCTGGGTACCATCTAATCGTAACACAGTTCTTGAGGCTTCCTGGAACACCAGGAGTTAATCCTTTAGTGGCTGACTTGTAAAGAGGTCTGTGGGGTCCCTCGAATGGGCTGGAGTCATCAGGGAGTTGGAGGACTCTTAGGAGACTTGAGACAGAGGCTATTTACTAATAGTGAAGTTTAGAAATATTTTTAACAATGTATATATCATATAAGAGCATACCAGCTATATAACAGTCCTGCTTTAAAAGAATGTTAGCCAACATTAGGATTGCTGAGTTCTTGAACCAAACTCATCAACAGTGAACCCTCACCCTCAACAGGGAAGAGACAGCGGCCAACGCCCAGGTATCTCTGGACAATTGTATACCCAATTCCAGCTTCCCAGTGCCCTGGAAAGTCCGTCTCGCCACAGACTACCCCCAGTTTCTGATTTAAAGCCCTTTTGCCTCCCTAGCTCTGATACTTCTACAATCACAAATCCATTTCCCTGAGATGGGGCTTCCAATCTCTAGCAGGAGTTGTTCATCAGAACAAAGTATAGAGATGGTACGCTTTTAGGCCCACCCCGACTGCAGAGTAGGGCAGGATAGAGAAGAAGGGGGGCCTGGAAGGAATCATGACCATCCTTGTGGTAGAAAATAAAATGTAAGTCTGACAGGGACACATGGGAAAAAAGATCTAAGAATAGACTATTAATCATAATAATACAAATATTATCTTCTCAAGTGCCTGCTCTAAGCAAGAACTGAGCTACTGGCTTTCTAGTTGTCATCTCAGGCCTCACATAACACTCTAATGCAGGTGTCATTATCTCTGTTTGGCAGCCACGGAAACAAGCTCAGAGAAATTGAACTTGTCCTTCAGATGAGTGCATGAATATCTTCACTATATGTTCCCATAGGTTCTGAACTTCACTTATCAAAACAGTCAGTACAGTTTACTGATTTTGCTTATTGTCTACCTCATCCTCTACATTCTAAGCACCTTGAGGATGGGATCCATGCCCATCTGACTTGCTATTGTATCTTACAACCAGGGCAATAGTAAACACAGTAGATAAATATTTGTCAAGAGAAAGAAAGAAAGGAATAAAGAATGGGTGCCTATACTTGCTCAGGCGTCCCTGGGTGGTGCAAACAGTTAAGCACTCGACTACTAATGTAAAGGTTGATGGTCTGAACCCACCCAGAGGCACCTTGGAAGAAAGGCCTGGTGATCTGCTTTGGAAAGGTCACAGCCTTGAAGATTCTATGATGTGCAGTTCTACTCTGACACACATGTGGTCTCCATGAGCCGGAATCAACTCCATGGCAACTGATAAACCCTTGCTAGGTAATAGGTGGTATCACCTGACTATGCTTCAGCTTTCTCCCATAAAACCACAGTGCAGAGGGCAAGCTGAGGAGTTGGAAGGAGACTCTCCATTTGTTTTTGCTGGATAAAGCTCAGTCATTCAGTGACAACCACGCGAAACCGTTTATTCACCGGGGCCAGAAAGATCTCCTGAGCATGTCTGTGGTTATTCTTTTCTACTTCTGTCTCTCTCTTATTCCTGAGACGGCTCCTCTATTTTCAACTCTTAGTCATTTCCTTGACCTACGTAAAACTTGCATCCAAGAGATATTTAGTAAATATTTGTTCATTGATTGATTCAATCCTTAAGTGCACAACTCCAGGGTAACACAGTTCAGTTACAGCACCTGACAAAGCTCTCTTTCTTGACTGATTGACTTTTGTCCAAGAGAATTAAATATTGGTTTTACAGCACATATGTGGAAATCCTATCTGCAGTCATTGAACCTGTCTAAACAGACTCACCCAAGTCTATTTGGAATGTCATTTAGGACTGTTCAAGAATGATATGAAATAACATGGAAGGGTTTTTTAATAATGCAAAAGTGGAGAAGGGATGACTCACACTTAACAGTGATCCTGCAGTGAACTACAGGAAGTAGATGTGAGAAGCCAGCTTTGGAAATTCTCAATTCTTCTTTCAATGTATCCCCTTACTGCAGCATTTCTCCTGCCTGGCTCGCTCCATGTTAGAATCACTTGGCGGGG